GTGTGTGTGTGTGTGTGTGTGTGTGTGTGTGTGTGTGTGTGTGTGTGTGTGTGTGAGACTTTTCAGCTTGTTAAGATGTGAACCTTTGCCTCTGGCTGAGTTCCTCAGAACTTCTGAGTTTCACTCAACGTTGCTTCATATTTTTCTGCTGCTTCCCGTCCTTTGATGCAGAATAGTCAATGAAAACCACAGAATCACAGAAACCACCACAGATTGAGGCAGCAATCACTAGTTTTGACTGGAGAGGTGGTGATAAGTTGAACCACGGCTCTCGTGGCCAGACTGATGTTTGGATGCCTTTTTGTGAACTTTCAACAGGCTGTTTTGTGTCCTTCAGAAAGAAACAACTTCTGTCTGCTCGCTCTGCCTCAGCAGTCTGATTAGCAGAGTGCTGCATTGATTGTTGTCCTTCCCTGTCGTCTCCACAAAGAAACCCTGGACCTCATTTGAAGTGAACATTAACTTCCTGTCTGACCGAGGTGTTTAAACATTGTCAGTCCTTTTCGCTCCTCATCAGCGTGGCTCTGCAGATGTAAGAAGTCGTCTTCCACAGTGGACAAAATGAGGTGTCTGTTTTTGATATTTTCTCCTGTCAGATCTGTGCCCTGAAAATAATCCTGTCTTGAAAATAGATTTTTTTAAACATGCATTTCCTAGTTTGTTCATTAATCTGCACCTTAGACACACAACTTCAGCCAATTTGTACAAACGTCACAACAGAAAGACCCATAAATCAAAACTAAATCTAACACCAGAATTAACCAGTGATCCTGTTTGAGGGTTACCTGAGACTACACTGATGACAGAACAAATGTTTTTTTTAAAGATGTAGAAGAGGACAAAAAAGATGATCAAATAAATTTTTAACAGCGGTAGATAGCTCTAAGAAAGATTTCAATTTGGAGAAAAGGCTTTGAATTCTGATCAGTTTAATGAGCTAACAGCTAGCTTGTACATGGCTAAAGTGAATTGTTGCTGTTTAAAAAACAACGTCTGTCTCAAATAAAAGTTGTTGCTGCTCAAGCAAGTGCAACTTCAAACATCTTAATTATCATTTTCTTGCTATAAGTGGCTCAGATTTCACTGATGACACAATTAGCTGCAGCTGCCATTTCTCAATAACCATGGTGTTCCAGGATTGAGGTTATATTTGTTTTTAGATTCAACTCATCGTGGACGTCGACAATCTTGAATTTAATTTCAAATATCAGACAACGGTTTTGGATGCCACCAGGAATCGGCACAGCCAGGGACCTTCCCTCGCCTGGTGCCCAGCATGCAATGCTCCAGGAGCCAAGGCTTGACCACCAGGTGGCCCTGGGTGCACTCCCCTCCAAGGTCTGGCTCCAGGGTGGTGCCCTGGTTTCCCTTTTCCGAGCGAGGTTTCCTGATGTGGAGGCTGCTCCATTTATCTCCTCTCCTCAAGACTGTTTGCCATAGGAAACCCTATCAGGGGCTATTGCCCCAAACAATATAGCCCCCAGGATCACGGGGTGCTCAAACTACTCCACCAGTGGAGAAGTTTAAGTCTGGGTGTCTTTTTCATGAGTGGTGACAGCATAGAGTGGAAGATGGATCGATGGTCAGTTGTGGTGAAGAAAAAGCTGAGTCCAGAAGCAAAGCTCTGGATTTACTGGTCTGTCTATGTTCCACCTCTCATCTATGATCATGAAGCACGGATCATGACAAAAAGAACAAGATCCTGGATATCGGCGAACAAACTGAGTTTCCTTCRTYGGGTGGCCGGGCTCAGTCTTCGATAGGGTGAGGAGCTCCATCATCCAGGGGGAGATCAGAGTTGCTGCTCCTCCACATCAAAAGAATTATTTTGAGGTGATTCAGGCATCTGATTAGGATGTCCCCAGGCGTGTCCCAGTGGTAGGAGACCCGAGGGAAGACCCTGGACTCGCTAGAGGGATTATGTGTCCTCTCAGGCCTGGGAACATCTGAGGTCCTCCGTGACGAGCTGCAGAGAGGGATGTCTGGGTTTCTTCTGGGCCTGTTGCTTCTGCAATCTGACTACAGATAGGGAGGAAAAAAATGGAGATGAAGTTTTGTTAGTTTGTGATTTCCATTTAAGTGAGGTGTGTCCCTTTAGGATTTTGTGTCAATAACCATCGCAAGTGACAGCAATGCAAAGAGTCATAAAAACACATTGTAAATGAACTTTTGCAGGAACTGCTTTGAGTTTTGTTGTGATTGAAGTTGTTTTAAGATCCACTTTGGTCTTTGCTCGGCTCAAACTAGCTGTTATTATCTCAGTTCTGTCAGAATGTAACTCCGTTTTCTCAAATTGAAGTTGGTTAAAAAGCTATCAGCAGGAGGTAAGGTATTATTGTTCATGAACTTTCCACAGAACTTGACTTCAAAAGTTCTGAACTCTTTAAGTCCTCAGGTTCAGTTAGTTTTCTTTTTGTGTCTGGGTGAACCATTAATCCACGGCACATCTTCTCCTTCTGTTCT